TCGGATTCAAAGGTGATTAAATCCTCTAGAGACGGGATTAAACTCCACGTATAATGGCGCGAAACGCATCGGATCTCGCCATTATCATCAAGTAACTTTTAATTACAGGCATTTCCAGGGCGTTTATTTTCTTAATGAGCGCCTGTTCACACCCGCCGAACTTATCAGAGTCGAGTGGGGTGACCCGCCCGGGAGCAACGGCCCTCCGGGGAAATCACACAGCTAAACCCGGACAAATAACAGAGTCATATTCAGGGGAAACTCAAGCATCCGAGGTATTGATGCTGGTGCTGGAGGCTTCGGGCAATGTGTGTATCGAGGCGTGATGATGGCCGCCCAGTTTGTGGCACTAGAGATGGCACCCTCGGCTTGTCCTCTGTTTACCGTCTTGGAACTGTGAGGTCACCGGCCATATACATCAGAAAACTGATGAAATAAAAGCAAATTCTGACTGTTCGTTACGCGAATTTACGTATAACTTACGGCAGGAGAGCTTGTGATGCTCTTCTTGGTGTATGTCGAGATGGAAGACTGCGGATAGCAAATTAATGATTACCCACGAAACTGACTTGTATAGGTATACATTCACGCAAATAAATCGACGAGAGAGTAATAGATTTAAGGTTAGTAAAGACAAGCCAAAATGTAGAACGAGCTGTTATTGGGGCGACGTTTCGAGTCATGACCCGATATAGCTCTATATAGAGCAAAGCAGTATAGAATATATACAATGAAAGGTATATATTTCTCTGAGTAAATATACTGAGAATTTACTTTAATTCCAATTTTAGCTATTAAAGTATTCTTGTCTGGTGGTGGAAAGGTTATTATTATTATAATCAAGGGGGAAGCGCTAAACCCGGAGGATTATACAGCGCCTGGGGGGGGGATGTGGAAGGCATTCAGGCTTAATTCGGGGAACTGGAGCACAGATCCAATTCCCTAAATCAAGAGCCCCTCACCAACATCAAGGAACCTTCCTTGAGGGGGGGTGGAAAGGTTATAAGCAGCCATAATGACCTTCTTGTAGTCGATAGGCTCTAAACCTCGTTAACCATTAAGAGGAATGTTGTACCATCTGCCCAAGAGTCATTAGGAAGACTTTAATTCTTCCCTTTAAAATGAGTGCCTTGATGGCGTAGAACTCTTGATTCAAGATGCTAGAGCTACCTGCTCTTTTCTCGGATCAAATTTTACTGTCTTCCAAACCCCAGATGTTGTATGATCATAGTTCCAGACGTAGCTTAAAGAACTGGGAACAGCATGGAGAATCGAATATGGGTAGGAGTCAGCAGTTGAACCGCGAGAAAAGATGAAGTACCAATATGTATGTCTTAGAGAGAGAGAGAGAGAGAGAGAGAGAGAGAGAGAGAGAGAGAGAGAGAGAGAGAGAGAGAGAGAGAGAGAGAGAGAGAGAGAGAGAGAGAGAGAGAGAGAGAGAGAGAGGTGGGGGTTGAACCAGGAAGGGAGACCTGCATGTTACACAAAACACATCAGATACAGAGAACGCAGATTACAAGAAGTTTCTGGGGACGGCAAAATATAGCCTACAAGGCCTCGGACTGAGGAATATGTAAGTAAAGAAATTTATTCAGGTATACACACATACAGTTACATAGATTATCATACATAGCAGCATATGTGTAGAGAACCTAGGATAACCCCCTAAAAAAAAAACCCAGAGTAACTTATTTCCATGTTTTATTACCTCATTATTATACTATAAAGGAGATAATATCTTATTATACTATAAAGGAGATATGCTAGGAATAGGGTAAATTGAGTTATTTATATTTACATGTGTTATAGCTAAAAAAAATAAAAAAATAATTCTCCTCCCCTGCTGTCGCTACATTCATTAGGTATCATTTGGCTCTCTTCTTGAACTGGCTCATGCTATGACTGGCTTTGACATGTGCAGGCAATCTGTTCCATTCCTTTATTGCTGTAATATAAGGTGTTTGAAGCCTGGCCACTAACTGTAGGTACTACAAAGTTGTGCTCTCTCCCCCTAGTACTGTGATTGCTTTGGTTCCCAGCCTTGACAAAATTGGAAGCAAGATATTCTGGACACTGTGAGCAATTTTATAAACTTGATTTAACTTCAGTTGTTTTACTCTGTCTTCAACATTCAGCATATCCAACTGTAATTCATCATAGCCTTCATGCTCTCTTGGACCCAGGTCCAGGATGAAGCATACCATTTTGTTCTGGGTTATTTGTAGTCTGTCTTTCTTGTTTTTTTTTTGTCAAGCCAAAGTACCATGAAGAGCAAGCGTAGTCCATATGACATTGTACAAGGGCTAGACATAGGGTCCTGCGAGCCTCAGTAGGTAGACACTGTGCTTGTCTGTAGAGGAACTCCAGTCTGACATTCGCTTTCTTTACTACACTGTTCTCTATCAATTTTCCTGACATGCATGGGTCTAAGGGGATTCCCAGATATTTCACTGAGGAAACTGAAGTGATGGGTTCCCATTACACTGGATATTAAAATTATTTACCCTCCTCAGTTTATGTTTCAGGCCAAAGAGTATGGCTTCCCGAGGTGTAACAATAGTTTGTTGTCTACTAACCATTTATTGCAGGACTCCAGTTCCAGTGTTATTACATTAGCTATATCTTGTAGGTCTTTACCTGACACTAACAGAGTACTGTCATCTGCATACAGCAAGAGTTTGCACTTGACACTGATGGACATGTCCTTCACATAACATAAGAATAATAAGGGACCTAGAATACTACCCTGGGGAACCCCACATACTACCGGCAGAGGTTCTGATTCTGTTTTGCTGATTTTGACAATTTGTTTCCTGTTGCTAAGGTAGGACTTAAACCAGTCTACGGAACCAATGCCGATAGCCTGAAGTTTCTTACCTAATGTATTGTTGTTGACAGCATCGAAGGTCTTTAGCAAGTCTAAACTTACCATTCCTATGAGGTTCCCTATCGACATTTCAGCTTTCATTTCAGTGGGAAATGTAACTAGAAAGAAATACAGCAAAAGAGTATTTAACTTTAGTGCTAAGAGATGGAGAAAAAGTAATAAAACAACAGAAAAGAAGAAGAACAGAGAGACCCAGTGATTTACCCACAGATGCAGAACTGCAGAACACGAGAGTGTGGGAAAAAAAAGCTAGAGTACACAAAAGATGACAGAGAACAGAGAAGAGAGCAGAATAGCCAGGAATAAATAAGCGAGAGTGAAAAAAGAGGAGCTGTAATTTTAGAGCATAAATATGTTAAACCTGAACCGAAACCATTAAACGACCACATCATAAAAATGACGTCAGTAAAAGGATCAAGTAATAATTTTAAACAAGGAAATGAAAATGTTTACTGAAAGCGAGAAAGAAATCTATGAGGAATTGAACGTAGTATTCAAAGTGCTTTATCTGAAGAGAGATAACACCGAGGAGACGAAGATGTGGGGAAGAATAAAGAAGATTAGAAATGCCTACACAGCATAAAATGCAAGCAAATATTAAGCACACTAGAAACATCAAAAACAATGGTGCTTAACACTATCACCAAGAGTTCCGACAGAAGGAGTAGAAACAGTGTGAAGCTCCAGTAAAATTCTGCAACAAGTCACTGGAAATGGTACAACTGCCATAACGATGGAAAACAGCAAATATATTGTCAATATTCAAGCAATGGAACATGCAGGCAGTGTTGAGCTACATACTAGTGTCCTTTACATGGATATCAAGTAATGTAATGGAGGAGATAACCAAAAAGCAAGTGGTGAAGCCATAACAGGCTACCAGGAGATTAGAGAAAGAAACTCTCTGGATATTGAACTTGCTTAAAATATAAAGTTTCACAACAAAACTAGTCATATCTGAGGAGGCTGACCTACTAGGCGAAGCTATAAGACCTGAAACTGGCAACCTTAGAGGACATGAGAACCAGGAAAGACGTAACAGCGACGAACAACATATTCAAGAGACTTGTTAAGGCACACAGGGGATAACTGTTTTCAAGGTGCAACCGACGACAAAAGTAAAATATGAGGATGAATAACAGAGTTGTTTGGAAGTACTTCATCTTTCTGAGTGCCATTGGGAAATCTGCATGAAGATGTAGTGCAAACAGATTCCTTACATATTTTTAAGAATAAATATGATAGTACCTACGACGTCATGGATTTAACGTGGGTTATCGAGTATTGGAAACAAGAGTGGTGGAAAATGGAAATTCAACATTATAATCACGAGAAGGTTACACTAACACATACACACACACACACACACACACACACACACACACACACACACACACACACACATACACACATACACACACTAAATAGATCCGGAAGTTGTCTAACTAAATATGTTAACATTACGCTGACTTATGAATTTAAGATAGACCAATATGCTTTTGAAGAAAATGATGTCCCTCATTCGACAGAAAGCTAAATAAGAGGACATATTAAAAACCTGTTCTCAATAACATTGTAGCGAGTACAGGTCCCAGCAGGGCTGACGTAGTCACCTGTATTTCATTACTGGACTCGTTTCCAATTCTTGCTGCCTCTGTAAAAGCAATAAGTGTGGCAATGATCCTAAAACTGCTGTTTCCATAAGTTCTCTGCTCTTTGTTGATATTATTACAGCTATTACTAGTGCTGTTATTGCGTTTACTGTTATTGTTATTGTGTTACTGTCATGGTTATTGCTTGTGTTATTGAAAGTAATTATTATTATTATTGTTGTTGTTTTTGTTGATAATGTTGTTCCAAGGTTTCTCGACAGCAAGAAAAATATTTTAAGGCTTCACTTCTCCTAAAGACTAATATAGTGCATTCTTTTATTGGCAAAAGAGAGAAAGAAATTTAACGGGAGTCCATCCCGAGGAACACTCCTGGGTATGAAGACTGACCATTGACCAGTACTACTAGTTCGGTCATTAGCAATCCTGCAGTACTAACATATGCTTTACAACGGAATGAGGATCATGTGGTTCACCACATGGTTTCCATGGCTGTTCTTCAGGAACTCATCCACATACCCACGGGACAAAGTAAGACTCATCACATCTGTCTTGAGTAATTCACATGGCAGTAAAGCCACACTCGACTCGATTCCAAGCCACACTGATATCCAAGAGGCTGGGACGAAGCTTCCAAAAGAAGTCAGTAGGAGTCAGCAGGTACTTGTTCTCATACCAGTTAGCCTACGACAGACTCTGTAAATGAACCATATCGCTGCAACACAAACATAACACTTCCTCAGGCACGCATCATGATCGGATTTTCTTGAAGCTGCTTCACAGCAACAACCCTCAACTGTCAACAGGGACGTTACTTGACATTCATTGGTTGTGTCCTAGATACACTAAAAATAATCGAGAGCTCAAGAGAAGAGCTTTGCCAGATTTACCACTACACTGTTCAATTATTTTGCTGTACTACCTACTAGACTGCCAAGTGACACTTAATTAAGAGATCACCTGTTACTACCGTTGCCATTACGCCAGGAGTCAGCCAAAACTGATGCCTCTCTTGTATTCCTATGGTAAATAACCTAAGGGCATCGATACCCATCTTAATTGCATAATCACCCCCTCCCCCCAAAAAACTCTACTTAAGATTATATTAAATAATAAAAAATACAAATAATAATTAACAAGTACTAAAGTGTTAATGGGGGTCAATATATAGTTATTATTAAGATACACACAGCATGTTAGTATTATCTCTTTATTGCCCCTCGTCTAGTGTATTGGAATGTAGCGGCCGTTGTGTATAGGAATAACTGTGCTGCCTTGCTTATAAACAACTCATATGCTCATCTTAAGGAAGGTACCAAGTTGACCCACTGTTATTCCCTTGGTCCTTAAAGTACGTGAGCTCGCAGCCCTGATCTGGCCTGCTCGAGTGCCCATTTCACAGACATGCCATAGGGTAAACATTGACTGCCACAAGAATGATCTTCGATAAATTTTAGGCTGGCCAGACGTCCTGTTTTAGGCCTAACAGTCCTGCTTTTGAGCACTCTGGCCTCCGTCCTGCGCCACCTCAAGCTGGACGTTAATTTGTCCTTTTTGAGACCTGTCTAAAAAGAATTATATAAATTACTTTACATATACTAAAAAAAACGGGATCTGAAGGCCACAATAACCACTGATGTATTTTTATTATAATTTTATGTAGTTGCCGTTGGCAACACTACTCGCGGAGCCGCAGTGCACATGTACAAGACGAGTCCAGCTATGAATTAAGTACACGTTGGGGTCTGAAAGGGTAAGTCTGCCAAAGGCCGCAGTGGCCGCTCGTTGACTGTATTAGAAAAAAATACCACAAAATAGCATTCATCACATTATAGTGATATTTGACAAACAAATAATCAAATAATTCTAAGTATATTTTGCATATTTTTACAATTTTTTATATATTTCAACTCATCATAAAACATGTTTGATTTAGGTTAAATTTCCAGTCTTAGGCCTTTGGTAATTAATTTGCTAGTTACTAGAATTTGGTAATTTGCATATTTTGATATATATATATATATTATATTATATATATATAATATATATATATATATATATATATAAAATATATATATATATATATATATATATATAAACGTAATGACTGTGTGTGTACTCACCTAATTGTACTCACCTAATTGTGGTTGCAGGGGTTGAGACTCAGCTCTTGGCCCCGCCTCTTCACTGATCGCTACTAGGTCATCTCTCTCTCTGCTTCCTGAGCTGTATCATACCTCTTCTTAAAACTATGTATGGTTCCTGCCTGCACTACTTCACTTGCTAGGCTATTCCACTTCCTGACGACTCTATGACTGAAGAAATACTTCCTAACGTCCCTGTGACTCGTCTGAGTCTTCAGCTTCCAGTTGTGACCCCTTGTCCCTGTGTCCCCTCTCTGGAACATCCTATCTCTGTCCACCTTGTCTATTCCCCGCAGTATCTTGTATGTCGTTATCATGTCTCCCCTGACCCTTCTGTCCTCCAGTGTCGTCAGTCCGATTTCCCTCAACCTTTCCTCGTACGACATTCCCCTGAGCTCTGGGACTAGCCTTGTTGCAAACCTTTGTACTTTCTCTAACTTCTTGACGTGCTTGACCAGGTGTGGGTTCCAGACTGGTGCTGCATACTCCAGTATGGGCCTAACATACACAGTGTACAGTGTCTTGAACGATTCCTTATTAAGGTATCGGAACGCTATTCTCAGGTTTGCCAGGCGCCCGTATGCTGCAGCAGTTATTTGGTTGATGTGTGCCTCCGGTGATGTGCTCGGTGTTATGGTCACCCCAAGGTCTTTCTCCCTGAGTGAGGTCTGTAGTCTTTGTCCACCTAGCTATACTCTGTCTGCGGTCTTCTTTGCCTCCTCCCCAATCTTCATGACTTGCATTTGGCTGGATTGAATTCGAGAAGCCAGTTACTGGACCACATGTCCAGCCTGTCCAGGTCTCTTTGCAGTCCTGCCTCATCCTCATCCGATTTAATTCTTCTCATCAACTTCACATCATCTGCGAACAGGGACACTTCAGAGTCTATTCCTTCCATCATGTCGTTCACATATATCAAAAATAGCACTGGTCCTAGAACTGACCCCTGTAGGACCCCGCTCGTCACAGGCGCCCACTGTGATACCTCTTCACGTACCATGACTCGTTGCTGCCTCCCTGTCAGGTATTCCTGATCCATTGCAGTGCCCTCCCTGTTACATGCGCCTGACCCTCCAGCTCTGCACTAATCTCTTGTGGGGGAACTGTGTCAAAGGCCTTCCTGCAGTCTAGGAAAAGGCAATCTACCCACCCCTCTCTCTCGTGTCTTACTTCTGTTACCTTGTCATAAAACTCCAGGAGGTTTGTGATACAAGATTTGCCTTCCATGAACCCATGCTGGGTTTTCATTTATAATCTTGTTCCTTTCCAGGTGTTCGACCACTCTCCTCCTGATAATCTTCTCCATGACTTTGCACACAATACATGTCAGAGACACAGGTCTGTAGTTTAGTGCCTCGTTTCTGTTTCCTTTCTTAAATATGGGGACTACATTAGCTGTCTTCCATTTCTCAGGTAGTTGCCCAGTTTCAAGGGATGTGTTGAAGATTGTGGTTAGAGGCACGCACAGCATCTCTGCTCCTTCTCTAAGGACCCATGGGGAGATGTTGTCCTGGTCCCATCGTCTTTGAGGTGTCAAGGTCACTTAAGAGCTTCTTCACCTCCTCCTCGGTTGTTCGTATGCCATCCAACACTTGTTGGTATATTCCCTCTTGATGTTCCCTTCTGTGCGTGCGTGTGTGTGTGTGTGTGTGTGTGAATGTTGATTCAGTGTCTACTGACTTCGCGAAAGCCTTTGACACGTGCGACCATGGGTAACTGCGTACAAAATACATGCAGAAGTTGCAACTGGATAGGTGGGAAGATGGATATTTAGCTTTCTAACAAACAACTTCCAAATAAACCGAGTAAAATCATAGTCTGCTACAGTGAAAAGATGTGTTCCCCAGGACACTGTATTCACCCTACTTCTCTTTCTCACATCTGACACAGAGACATAAACTATAACACTGTATCATCCTTTGCAGACAGTGCTAGAATTTGTCTGAGAGTAGCATCTATGGAAGACAGCAAGCATCCGAGTCATATTGTTGTCAGTGGGCTACTGACAACAATATGATGTTCAATGAGAACAAATTTCATTTACTACGTAATGGAAGGATGGAGGAAATATAACCAATATCGAAATGCAAATCAAACTGAAAGCTATTAATAGAACCTAAGTCTAATGTGACAGACTTAGGAGTGATAATATTAAAAGATCTCACATTCATGGAGCACAATAGTGCAAGGAAAATGATGGATTGGACTACTGAAACTTTGGAAACAATAGATGTCAGGCCAATAACTCTCTTTAGGCTGGAATATTGCTGAATATTAACGGCCCTCTTCAAAGCAGGCAAAATTGTAGAGATGGAAAATGTAGAGAATCGTCACAGCTCGTATAACCTCATTCAAGCATCTAGATTACTGAGAGCGCTTGAAGCCCATCGACCTGTACTCCTGAGAACACGGGCGTGAGAGATGTATAATTATCTACATCTCGAAGATACTGGAGTGATTGGTTCCAGATCTGCACTCTGAAATCATTATATATGAAAACAAGAGGCTTTGCTCACGATGCAAGATACGTCCCGTGACAAGCAGGAAAGCAATGAGTATACTGAGAGAGAACTCAATAAGAGTAAATTGTCCATGACTCTTCAACTCCCCTCATTCATAAGGGGGCTTGTTAACGAAACCCTTGTTATCTTCTGGAGAGAAATAGATAAAATCTTCACAAATTAGTTCCTTATCTGCCAGTCTGGGATACATACATTGGACTTCAGGCGGCGGGTACCAATAGCTTGATCAGTCAGGTCAGCAACCAGGAAGTTATTGTCTGGGACTGTGCAACGAGGGGGATGGGAGAATGAGTGACCTCCGGAAGAAACTGCAATTTCCAGGATCTATGTTCCGCATGTGGTTGACGGTGCCATGCACCACAGAGACTACATTGCCACACCTTACTTTAACCATCGTAAAATAAAATAAAAATAGCACAATACGGTGACTGGAACCAAATACAAATAACCCGCACACAGGAAACTGAAACTTATGACGGCGTTTAGGTCCGACTCGAACCATTAACTAGCCACTCAGTTAACGGCAACTATATTCCAATACGCTAGACGGGAAGCAACAAAGAAGCTATACCAAAATAACAAACATCCCGTCTAGAAACTTCACGTCGGAGGTGAAGAGAGCACCGAGCTCTACCTTACGTTAATATGCGACGTTCACTAGAAGACGCAGCTATACAAAAAAAGGTTTTAGTTTTAAAGACGCTCACAATAAGTGGGTCAGCTATACGACTAACAACCTCGTCAGCTCAGTTTCCGTAAAACTGATTTTATCCCTAATATATGGGGGCATTAAAATATGACTAGTGGCGCACATCGACATGCATTACTCTAATTTCCTGCTAAATAATTATGAGTGTTTTTTACCGTGAATAGCTCCTTTTAGGAAATACTTATGTGCACTTAGCAACGATGTAAATATTTACAATTATTTGAGAGAGAGAGAGAGAGAGAGAGAGAGAGAGAGAGAAGAGAGAGAGAGAGGAAAAGAGAGGGGAGAGAGAGAGAGGGGAGAGAGAGAGAGGAGAGAGAGAGAGAG